ATCTGCTGGACGTTCATGCCACGCGCGACGGCCATGGCGAGCATGGTGCGGATGGCTGCGATGGTAGCCGTCGGGGCAAAGGTGTCCGTGTAGTTGACACCGTGGACCTGGGAGTAGCCTTTGGCAACCCAGCGCGCCTTGTACTTGATCACCTTGCCCTGGTCGTCACGCTTCTTCCGAAAGATGACCATGCTGCGGAGCAGCTTGTGGCCCTTGGGAAGGTCAGCGCGAGGCACGACGTCGTAGACGTCATTGGCCTGCATTGCCGCAAACTCGTCCAGGATGGCTTGGCGCCACTCCTCAGAGTCTGGCGAGGCAAGCGCCTCCTTGACGGTGGCTGGCTCAGTTGATGTGGCAACACTGCCAGCAGCGATGTCTGGTAGATGACCACCCACTGCTGATGTCTTCTCCCCCGTACCAGCAGCGCTGGTGGCAACGTGACACGTGGTGGTTGAGCCACCAGAGGTGTCCTTGTCACCGAGGGTCTCGGACACCAGAAGCTGGTCCCAGACGGAGCCGCCAAGGGCGCGTGGCTGGAGCTGCGGCTCCCCCGCACGTGGTGCAGGGGGAGCGCCGGTGGCACTGTCCTCGGTTGAACGCTGAGCGGTCTTGTTGGCATGCGAAGCAGAGGCACCGCTGTCGTCCTGCTCTTGCTGCTGCTGAGAGGAGGCGACGTCCTTGTTCTTGATGGCGCCGAAGCGAGCGTGGATGGTGTGGACAACGCGTCGCGTGTCCGGCATCCAGACGACGTGGGCCTGGTCCTCCTCGGCGAAACCAACGTAGACGCCGACGCGTGAGCGTGGGTCAAGCTTGTGCCGCGTGCTGCTCTTCTCCACATGCACGTAGGCCGGCGAGCCGAAGACGCGCAACAGGCTGACGTCGAAGGCGTGCCCAGTCAGGGCCTCGAACGGTGACTTGTCCTTGAGGCTCCTGCGTGGCGCGATGTTGTGCAGCAGCGTGGCGTGCTGCACGGCGAAGCCCCAGAACGGCTTGTCCAGGTCCGCAGCAAACAGCATCGTACGCGCCGTCTCGAAGAGGGTGCGGAAAGTGCGCTCTGCGGATCCGTTCTTGGCCTGCGAGTGCGGTGGCGAGAAGCGCTGCTTGATGTCGAAGGCCAGGCACAGGTCGGTGAAGTCCTGACTCTTGAAGACGGCGTCGCTGTCCGTCTGCAGCGTGGCGCCTCGGAGCG